ACCTGATGCACGGCTTTGGGACTTGCCAGCCTCCATAACTGCGTGAGCCATTTTCTTGAAATAAATCTGTCTATATATATTTATATATATGCTTCACTGGTTTTGCCCCTCTAGAGAACCCAGCCTAAGACAGGGAATTTTAAGTAGAAAGTGATTTCCAGCTCCCAGGTTTGTGGCTAAGGCCAACACAAAAGCAAAGACTTAAAGCTGTCTTGATTCCATAACAGGTTGGGCTCAAGGGCTTTAGAGTGGGATTGAGGTGGGTTTGAATCCTGGCTTACTTCTTCCTAGTTGTGTAATCTCAGACAAGTTACTTCATCTCCCTGGGCCTCAGTTTCCTCATCTTTGAAGGCTGTGGTACGAATCACACCTCTCAGCACCCAGCATATCCTTGGTTACTGCAGATCTTGCAGATTTTTCTCTGGGTTACGATGCTGGGTTTCTGGGGAAGTGGGTTCCAAGCTGTTTTTCTGGATGTATCCACTGTACTTGGCAAAGTGTAGATGTAAACCCCTGAAAGGCACGTGGGCCACAGGCTGGCTGTGACTCCATAGAGCCAAAGGGAATGGCTATTTCTGGGATGATGGGCTGTGGCCATTTGGAATTGCCTGTTATCTCTTAGAAACACCCCAGGGATGGCCCTTCCTTACTGTGCCCACAGGCTCTGCCACGCTGGCCTTCTTTCTGTTTCTCTAACTCTCATGCCCAACTCTTTCCCCTGAGGGCCTTTGCATCTGTGGTTCTCTCTGCCTGCGGTGCCCCTTCATTGCTCAGCTTGTGTACCTCCTCAGAGAGGCCGTGCATTCCCTTCCGACCCACAGCAGCACCCCCTCCACCCCAGCACCCTCAACTGTGCCACCAAGACATTTATTCCCGGCCGTTATCACTACCCCGACTTCATTTTGCTTATTGATTTGTTTCTTTTGTCTTGACTTCTCTCCTTCCTCCCCAAGTAAATGTAAACTCCATGAGGGCAGGGAGCTGTCCTGCTTGCCCTAAGTCCCCAGAACTTAGAACTGGCCTGGCACATAGTAGGACCACAGCAAATATTGCTGCATGATTGAATGATGGTTTTAAGGCAATGCGTGCTCTGGATTTCAAACATTGGCACTTGCTGTGCCTGTGCTTGCCCAGGGCAGGGTCTCAAGCACACTTTAAGGAATTCCCTTACTCAGAAAAAAAATCACCTCCTAAACTGCAGCCAGGGGCTTACTACCTGGTTTCTGGGTGGGCTACTAGAGTTACTGGTGTTCAGAAGTCCCATGATCAGCAGGCAGTGTGGTGGCAGGTGCAGATTGAGCCTGGCTCTGTAATGACTGCTTTTAAGGCCATGCCTGAAGGAGTCCTTGGCCTCTCACTTGGGTGGGTCTAGGGTCCAGTGCATGTAAGGTATGCAATGGGCCAGCTGGTGGAGGGAAGTGGATTCTCACAGGAGAGTTTCCCCTCCAGCTTTCAGAACTCTGGACAGTTCCCAAGTGGCTGGTGGTGGCAGATAAGCCACCTGACCCTTCATGTTGTTGAGTGCCATCAAGTTGATTCCAACTCATAGTGACCGTGTAGGACAGGGGAGAACTGCCCCAGAGGGTTTCCAAGTCTGTAATCTTTACAGGAGCAGCTCACCAGGTCTTTTCTCCCATGGAGTGGATGGTGAATTTGAACC